GACAAGCCTGGGGCAGGAGCCGGCTGTGAGAAGGCCCACAGTGCTTTGCCACCGCCCCTTGTGAACAGACTCTACCTTGTCTTGTTTCTGAAGGAGGCTTTCTCTTCCCCAGGAGCTGAGGGAGGTGCTGGCTCTCTGGGAAGTTCCAGCATTTTTTTCTTTAAGAAAGATTATAGCATGTGAATGACTCTTATTTGCAATCTCCCTAAAAACAAGCCTGTTTGTTAGAGAGTTCCCAACAATTATTATTCTTAGCCTGAAAAACTTGACCTCCTGTCTCCCACTGCAAAAGCTCTGAGCCACCATTTGCATTATAAATGCTTGCTCTCTAGGCCTCCCGTCTTTCCTAGCAGATGTCCAGGTGAAACATCCCCAGCACTCAAGCCCCACAGTAAGATTTTTAAGGCAGTGGGGGTGAGGGAACCATAGGAGATGTTTTCTAGAAACTCCTATGGGGTAGGATTAGGAGGTAGAATTACATAGTTCAAGCTGAGCGATGTGTTATATCAGTATTAATAATAATATTTGTTTGGGGCATAGTGCCCCATGCCTCTGTGAGTTCAAGACCAACCTGGCCTGCATAGAGGTTAGTCAGGGAGCCATAATGAGACCCTGACTCAAATAATAGTGATAGGGGATGTTTCTCCTGACTTCGTATTATTATTGTCAAAAAGAAGCAAAGCTATGTAAATGAAGTGTGGAATTTGGTGCCTAGCACACACTGTCTTCTAATATGTAGTCTTATTATCACTACTGGCCACTTTACATGGATCCTGATCTTTTACATCAATTGCTTAGAATTCCTGTGAAACACTTACAAGCAACCGTCATTGCTCTCACATTACAGATGAAGAAACCTAGACTCTGGGCCACATTGTCCTTGGGTGGTTCCACTGGTCCTGGACCCAGAACTGTTAGGTTCTAAAGCCTACACTCTTTTCATCACCCTGCAATGGATGAAAGACACCTTTGGGACTTTCACAAGTCAGCCAATGTTACTCCCTTTGCTAGTCTGTTGCTAAAATTTGAATGCTTATATAATGACAGCATTTCTCCCTGAACCAATTTCCTCCAAATGTCATTTCCTCCTTCTATAAACAGAACACATCCCTGACTCACATTTGAACAAAGCCATTTCACATTTCAGAGTTTCTTTCCCCTGTTGTCAGCCCTATGGCAATTCCACAGGTTCAGGGCCAAATTCCAGCTCACAGTGGAGGATGTGTGAATACTGCAGGCTAAGAAAATAGCAGGAGAGCAACTGAGAGGTTCCCCAAGTACTGCCTTATCCAACTATTTCCCAGCAGGCCATGGATTGAGACAGAAATGAAACATATGGACATGGGCAAGAGCATATGTCAGGCATGCTGGGGCCCATGTTCCTATTAACTAGCACCCTGGGTCACTTTAAATCATGAAAACACCACAAAGCCAGCTACCCAAGTATATCTACAGAACCAAGATGGAAGTCAGTGCTTTCATTTCTCACGCCTTTCTTCTTGAAGGGACCCCATCAACAGGATGCTAGCACACACTTATCCAGAAGAAATCAAAACTGGGTCTGCCCATCCCCACCTCCACAGCAGGCAAAGAAAAGAGAAATGACTGTTAGTTCCAAAAGACTGAATGGTTTCCACTGACTTAATTATAATAGCAAATTTCATCATCATCCACAAAGCTTTACTGAACATAAACCACACAGAAAGCACTGTGCTAGCCACTAAGGAAAATTCATACAAGAACTTGCCCTCCAGGCCTGAAAAACTCAGTCAGGAGCACTGTTTCTTTATGAAGTCTCACTCAGGTACACCAGTGTTGGCCATATCCCCCTTCCCACCATGGGTTTATAGGTTTAGTCGTTCAGGTAGCCTTTGGTTTAGGCTGCCAGCACTGTTTTTAATGCCTCCCTTCCTCAGGTTCCTCAATCTGCTGGAAAAATCCCGAGTTTAGGAATCGAATTATCCTGACTTTGAATACTGACTGAGAGGTGGGGGAAGGGAAAGGTTGGAGATGCAAAAGCTTTCAGGGCAGGGTGAGTGCCTAGGAGAAAGCAGAGAGAAATGAGTTAGAGTAGCAAGTAAGGGCCATCCCTCGGGAACCTTTACAGAAAGGCCTGATGGGCAGCCAGAAGCAGGTCTTTGATACCATTGCAGCATCTCCTGGCATTTATTTCCCTCTTAACTATTTCTCAGTTTCATCAGGTGAGTATTAGTCAAATTCCAGCTGGGTTGCCTGGTTGTTCCTCGCCAGTATTACTGCAAGCGGTAATGCTCATTTTATATTTCTTTCAAAAGATGATTTCAACAGCCCTTCACATGTAGATAGAAGACAGCATTAGAAAGGGTATCAGGAGAGCTGGGTTTCAACAATAGGAACTTGAGGCAAGTCGTGTCCCTAAGCCTCAAATGAAAATGTGAGGACTAAAATGGTAGCCCTAGCTGTGGCATTCTGGGATCAGTCTTTACCAGTAACAGCAACAAGTGAAAGTAAAGCAACCAGTTTCCGGAGAGCAGAGAAATACGTTTAGTTTACCCACTAATTCAAAGAAAACCTTCGCCTTCCCCCTTTTCCTTCCTCCTCTGCCCTGGTATTCTACAAACTCTTCTTGCAGTCTTGGAAGGGTTGGCTGTGGGGCCAACTTGAGCCTTAGAAGTGTTTCTCCATTTTGTTGTTGAGTCCTTTACCCCAGCGGCACATGGAGACCAAGGGAAGCTATCAATGAAACAGTCTTAGCTGCTCAGGAGTGCGTGGCAACAGACCCCCCAAGCCCTGGAGAGTGTGGACACAGTTGGGTTATAGTCCTGAGCCTGTTTGTCTACCCAATTACATGTTCTCAAAATAGATCCTCAAACTGACCCTGTAAAAACAACTCATTTTCCAGTGAAGCCGTTCAGCTGCAGAATTGTATCAGACCTTTGGCAATTCAGTTCTGCAAATGGAAATTATCAAAAGCTACATGTGTAACACAGAAACCAGTTTCAGCTTGAATCTCAAAGTTTCTTTAATGATGACTTTCTAGAACAACAGGACTCAATTTATGAAGTAGAATATATAAATATGGATGGGATTCCTTTCATCCACATAGCTTCTAAACATGCATTCCCTTTGCTGTGAAGGCATCACAGGGCTGAGCTGAGTTCTGAGGGTGATGAGGTGTAATCGACCTTCAACTTGACCCAAGGCTTCTCCAGGGAGTCCTATCCCTGGAATCGCAGGAACGAGTTTTTCTGATTTTTAACTTCCTTATGTTCATTTAGATATCTCACTTGAAAATGTACATAGCACCGGACAGCGGTAGCTCACGCCTTTAATCCCAGCACTTGGGAGGCAGAGGCAGGCGGATCTCTGTGAGTTCGAGACCAGCCTGGTCTACAAGAGCTGTTCCAGGACAGCCTCCAAAGCCACAGAGAAACCCTGTCTCGAAACAACAACAACAAAATGTACATAGCATGGAATAGCACATGCGATGGGCAAAAATAAGGAAGCCTGTGTGTTGTGTGTGTTGTATCATCAGACTCTTCCACAGTGATACTGGAGCACAAGATGCCACCTCAGACATCTTGTATATGAGGCACCTCTCATCTGTCTACTTTGTGATGTGCTTCCTTGCTTTGTGGTGCTCACGGTAGTGATGTTACAGTGACAACTTGAATTTTGATGCACTCCAGGGTGAAGCTTCTGCCAGCTATTAGGAAAACACAAATTATTCAGGACATATAAAGCATTAGATATGTATTCACTTCACGTTTTTAGTATTTTGCCATGCCAAAGTGTAATGGGACTATGATGTAACTGACACAACACTAAACATTATTCAGTACCCTTCTTTAGGAATCTATGTTATATAAACGATAACATTTACAACACCAGCACCTATAAGCATGGAGCCCAGCAATGTGTATCTTAACAAAGTATCCCGATTCTTCCTTTTCTTCCAACTGTAGTTTACCAAGTTTTAAATCTATTAAAAATTCCAACATGCCTTTTAAGGACATTCCTTGATACTTTATTCTTGTTGGCATCCTATGAACCTTCCTTTATATTTCAGAATTGCTTTTAGAATAAGGTTGTTTATTCTACTTTATTTGAAGTCAAGGGAAAAATGGGAGAAAAAAACATCTTGCCCCTTAATAATTTTAAGTCTAGACCTTTTCAACACCCCAAGAGGCCATCACAAATATTTTCATTTCTGCCACTTTGGTATCCAAGGAGGTTTTTAGTACTCTCTTTCATTTATTCAGCAAATATTCCTTGAAGGATAAACAGTGTGATAAATGTGCTAATTTTCCTTCATGCACATATTTTGAAATGAGGCCCAATATTAGAGCTAAGCCTTTCCAGAAGAGAGCTCCTTAAGAAGAGTCAAATCCATTGCCATTGCCTATGTATGCTAAACTCTCACTTTTAATCATTTCTTATTCAGTAGTTTGAGTTAATTCCATCAGTTGTGATTATAACCAGTGTTTGGAGAGGCAGTTATACTAAGACCTCTGCATTAGAAATGGCAACTTTCAATAAGCTCAGGACCCAGTGTGAGGACTGAATCAAGACAAAAGTGGAAGGCATGGGTTAGGAAGCAAATGTACCCTAGGACTTACCAACTGAGAAATTAGGAGGCTTGATACAAGGAATGCTAGCCCTAGACACAGATAAATAGATTTGAATCTTGACCCTGCCACTGCAGTGCTAATTTGGGCAAGTTAGTTATCCTCCTGTGCCTGCTGCCTTGTGTGTAAGATAGGGATGGTGATGGAAGCTAGCTCCTAAAGGAGTTGTAAGGATTATGAGAAATAATGCGTAGCAGACGTGTACCACTGTGCCTGCCATTAAGTACTCCACAAATGGCAGCGTTTGCCAGCTCCTGGCAAGACTTACCTATAGCTCAAGCAGATCTTCCCTGCTGCCACATCCTTCCTCTCTGAGCTTTTCATTTCCATTTGTCCTTGATGGTACTAATGACCAATTCTTCCCCTTCTCCTGACTTCCCTTTTCTCGCCTTGATGAGCTCAGGTGATGAACAGCAGCCCCTCATTTCACGAAAGATCGGGCACTTTCTAAAATGCATTAGCACAGGAGGAGAGGCGGCTGCAAATGGAAGGCAAAGCCCCTCTGGCAATCCATGTAAGGAGGACAGGGATCTGAACAGTCCGTGGAGATAGGGGTTACAGTTAGTGTTAGAATTCCGGAGCTGAGAAGACTGCCATCAACCAAGTGGAAAATTCCCACATCCAGAAGTAGGTATGTAACACAAATATCAAGGTAGTATAGATAGATTTGGGCAGAGGCAAGAGCCTGGGAACAGGTGGGGCAAACAAGGCCAGAATGAAGTATCACTTCCTATGCATCTGATTTAGGGCGAGAGTCAGAGATGAAAGACGAAAGAACAACAAAGCTGAGCCTGGTCCCAACTGTAGATGTGATAGATGAAGCTAACAGTTAATGAGGATGGCTAGAAGATGCCACCACATCTCTGGTAAAGCTTACCAGTCATGGGACAAGGCTGAGCTTGTGGCAGCTTCAACACAAATGTGTCATATTCAGTAAGTTCTGGATATTTATTCAATGTGAAGTCAATTTTTTAAAACTTCACCTTTAATTGAGGGAAAAACCTAACAATTCTGAGGCGTATCATGGCTGTGGTTTTCTGAATGTATTTCCTGCTAATGCAAGATTACAGAGGAAGAAATAGCCAAGTAAGAGACAAAAAATTAGAAGGATTCCAGTTCTCTTCTGCTCACAAGGGAATATACACTTTCCAAATTCAGGAAAGAAAGGAGAGGCCCTGCCAGGGTTCTTTGCCAGTTCTGAGTCTGTTTTGGCTCCTAAATAAACTTTGCTCTCCTCAAGCTGGCAGCCTTCAGTTCCAATCTTTTTCTGAGAAATGTACAGCATAGTTGGGGCTCCGTTGGGAACCGTTCTAGCCTCAAGGAATGAATCATTAGCTGGAGTCAGTTTGAGATTTGTAGACCCTAGAGGGAAGGGCTTCCTTCCTTGTCTCTAGATCTCCTTTATAGGCAGAGTAGGTGGTCAGTAAAAGTATAATTGAATGACTTACCTCACTGCATGGAAGTTCAGTTTCACAGCAGTCTATCAAAGATGTTACAGCAAAAGGTTAGCTAGACATTTAAAGAAAATGCATATCAGTGGCATGAATGGTGGCACACAAATATAATCCCAATACTAAAGAGATGGAAGCAGGACGATCACAAATTCAGTTGCCGCCTGGGCTGCAAAGTGAGATCCTGTCTCAAGAAATAAAAAAAAAAAAGGTAAGGGCATATCAATTCAGGAAACATAAAGACCTTGTTTGAATTTCTAGTCAAACATTCAATAATGAGATAATTGGAAATTGTGAACACCAGTTACAACATTGGATAACTTTATGTACCCTGTCATGTTTTGAAAAACGGTAAATGTCATCATTTGAAAATAAGAGATTCAGGGCCTGGAGAGCTCTGGCTGCTCTTCCAGAGGACCGAGTTCAATTCCCAGCACCCATGTGACAACTCACCGAGTGTCTGTAACTCCAGTCCCAGGACCAAATACCCTTTTTCTGGCCTTTGCAAGCACTGCATATATGTGGGAAACAGACATACATGCAGGTAAGATCCTTATACACATAAAATAAACACATACTTAAAAAAATAAGAGTTCTTACATTAAAATCAAGATTCCAGGCAGAACAGTGGTGGCGTACACCTTGAATTCCAACACTTGGGAGGCAGAGGCAGGTGGATCTCTGTGAGTTCAAGGCCAGCCTTGTCTACAAAGTGAGTTCCAACACAGGCTCCAAAACTACAGAGAAACCTTGTCTCAAAAACAAACAAACAAACAAACAAAAAGCAAACCTATAGAGGAGTTGAAAGAATAGGCATAGATCTATCTAGACATTCTTTGTCATTTTCTAGTATTTGTCTTGGGGATTTTCCCCTAATACTTGCCAGTATGTTTCTGACTTTGCATCATCACCCCTAAATTCTTTAGCATTTCTTTTTGTAAGAAAAGGGGGCTTTTCTATAAGGCTACAACATTATTTTCACAACCAAGAAATTTGATCTTGTTAGTGTTATTTATTACTCAGTTCATAGTCAAGGACTCCCAATTGTCTCAATTATGAATGCCTTTTTGTGTTCAGTACTGAGGAGTGAACATTCATGCATGTCAGACGACAAGAACTACCACAAAGCTGTATCTCCAGCTCCAGGATGAGTATACCTGGAAAGGTATTCTTGAATCCAGGTCTTCAGCAATGTTCAGACCTTGTATTTGTTCTCTTTAGTCTCGTGTTCCAGAATAACTCCCTATTTTTGCAGTCCTTCATCATATCTTATGTTAGCCTAGATTTGTATGAATGGTCCTTCATTGCTAGATTTGAGGTTGACCTTTTAACCATAAGAAATGACAAGAATACTTTCATGTTTTGCCAGATTGTCTGTCTGTGTATTTGTGTGTGCGTGTGCTTTACTGATGTTCTCAACATAGATGTGCCATACTAATAACCATGGCTAGCATCATGGATCTAGTGCAAAATACTGTACTTGTTGAGAGGCCAGTCTTTGATGCTAGAATTGATTTCATTCCCCTCAATACTTAGTATCTATCATGTGTGTGTATTTGTGTTATTTGTGTGTGTGTGTGTGTGTGTGTGTGTGTGTGTGTGTGTGTTTTTTTAAAAAAAGTCATAGGGGCAGCATGTTGTTTTGTGGTAACTGTCATTTGTGTTGAGTGTTGGAGAGGTTGAACTGTTGTTTTAAATGCTTAGCCATTTGTGTTTTCTGTCCTTTGAAGAGGCCTATTTATGCCTTTTGTTGTTGTTGTTGTTTGCTTTGTTTTTCCAAATAGGGTTTCCCTGGCTGTCCTGGAACTCACTTTGTAGACCAGGCTGGCCTTGAACTCACAGAGACCCACCTGCCTCTGCCTCCCGAGTACTGGGATTAAAGTGTGCCACCACTGCCCTGCTCTATTTCTCTTTCTTCACTCTCATGAAACTATCTCATGTAAGAATAAAAGCACATGGCTACTCTAGTGACATATTTAGGGCCCAAATTCCAATACTGTCACTTCCTGTGTAACATTAGGCAAATGATTTTAATTTCCTCTTTAGTTTCCTCGTCTGTATGATGGGGACAGCAGTGGCACATACTTCATAGGATAGTAGGGGGACTAATAAATTTATGTATTGCTACAACTGATAAGTGTCATGTTACACAGTATAATATGGGTAGCCACTATTAGATTCTTCAGTTTCTAGCTCGCATACCATTTGAAGACTCAGTGAGCTCATCAAACTGCTTATCCTATAGAGGCTCTTGCACCCTACCTGTTACCTCAACCATAGACTACAACCATGTGTCAGGTGGCTCACATCCTCTCTTCCCAAAACTGGGCTTTTCATGCAGTGTTCAAAGATAGTAAACTCATAGTACAGGAAGATGCTTGGCAAATGACCCAAATGGACTTAAGAATGGGGAAATACAGCCGGGCAGTGGTGGCACACGCCTTTAATCCCAGCATTTAGCAGGCAGAGGCTTTGAGTTCAACACCAGCCTGGTCTACAAGAGCTAGTTCCAGGACAGCCTCCAAAGCCACAGAGAAACCCTGTCTCGAACAACAGAAACAAAAGGGGGTGGGGAGATATGTCCCCAGGTAGAGGTGATAAGAGGAAAAGAACGTTCAATGGCCAAGTAGGCAGCTGATTGGCTGGGGTCCAGAACACATCACGATAGAGTCT